TTCAAAAGGAAGTCATTGGGACAGCAAGATAAATTGTCAGGTAAAGGGACTTGGTGACACTCTGGAGACCCAAGTTCAATCCCCAATCTTACTTGGTAGAAGAAGAGAATAAACTCCCACAAAGGTATCCTTGACCTCCATACCATGCTGCAGCACACACACACACACACACACACACACACACACACACACACACGCACACTCACACATACGAATACTCACACATGCATGTATACTCACACATGCACAGGCACACACACACACATGCACACAGTAAATAAATAATTGTAAAAAAAGTTCCAAAGGAAGCCATTGAAGCTTTCATTTAAAAACATGTTCATATTTTCAAAACTATTTCTGATATTTTGTTGACTTTTTATGTTTCTGTATCAATTTGTTGATTTAAAACTTATATACTTCGAAATACATGTTTGTTTTTCTTGAGTCAGGGTCTCAGGAAGTGGCTGCCTGATTTTAATTACATATAGAGCCGGGCAGTGGTGTACATGCCCTTAATCCCAGCACTGGGGAGGCAGAAGCAGGTCTCTCTGAGTTCAAAGCCAACCTGGTCTACAGAGCATGTTCCAAGACGACCAGGGATACACAAGGAAACCCTATCTCAAACAAACAAACAATCAAAAATTACATATAGAAATGGCTCCATAAACTGCTCATCTCCTGTTGCTTGCAGAATATTCACCTCCCGACCCCCTCTCCATGCAAAAGCTCCTTCTAACATATATGCCAAGTCTTGTAATGCAGTTGGGTAGGACCACATAGTCTGACATACTTGTGCTGGTCTATATGGGAATTAGTTTTGGATTTTCAATGAATTTTCCCTTTAAAATATTTCCAGGCTATACATATTCATGCCTGTCACCTTTGTTTATGCATCACCTGTGTCCTGGCAGCTTGAACTTTTCTGTGTTGTTTAATTACTGAGCTCCCAAAACCTGGTGGCTGATGAGGTTTCTTGCCTGTTGTATGAAAAACCAATAAGCAGGTATTTTTAAAAGCCAGCAAGTTAATCACAAATGCATTGGTGGTGAGTTTTTTTGGTTTTTTTGTTTGTTTGTTTGTTTGTTTCCAGAGCTGAGGACCGAACCCAGGGCCTTGCGCTTGCTAGGCAAGCGCTCTACCACTGAGCCAAATCCCCAGGAGTTTTTGAAATCTGACGAGACTCACTAGTTTGCCGCTGTTGGACGTTCTCTGTACAGAGGTGAACTGATGTACAGCAAAGCACACCAGGTAAGTGCTCATGGGGACAGACTCCTTAAAAATCGTTTTATTCCAGTTGTTATCCACTACCTCTTCTCTCTGTGGAGAACAGAAGATCATCTTTTATTTATCATAAGATCAACCAAGAATAAGACAAACAAATGAATACTTCAAGCCCCATTCCCTATTCAGAAGTTCATTTTCAAAGTTCAGGGGTCGAATGATAAGTGGTAATGATGAGAAGCCTTTAAAAAAAGTCACCTATTAGCTGGGCGGTGGTGGCGCACGCCTTTAATGCCAGCACTCGGGAGGCAGAGGCAGGAGGATCTCTATGAGTTCCAGGCCAGCCTGGGCTACAGAGTGAGTTCCAGGAAAGGCCCCAAAGCTACACAGAGAAACCCTTGGGGAAAAAAAAGTCACCTATTATGAAGAGAAAACACAGGAAAGAGTCCTGTATTAACAAGTATCCAGGCAGAATTATTGTAACCTATTATTAATTCAACGTTTGACAGATTTTTTTTTAGCAGAAAAATCTATGGGCATGGTGTTCTCTAGAGTTGGCTTGTACAACCAAGAATTGAAGTAGTGATTTTTTTAAAATAGCTTTATCTATTTAAAAACAAGGGTTGTATTGAACTGAAAAGTCTAAATAGTGAGTATGGCCTAGAAAACTTTAAGTGTGTCTTTGATTTTTTTTAATGACTAGTGGTTTGTGTAGTTAAGCAGAGTCAATCTATATGTATTATATTCTTTCTTCCTTAAAAATTTCAAGGTGAATTTATTACTGGACTGTGATGTTATAAGCTGACAATTTCCTAGAGTCAAAGAATAAAAGACTGCTAAGATGTACTCTTAGTCTTTTAAATTGATAGCTACATAGCACATTTAGTTTCAGGATTCAGAGTTCCCTTCTATGGTGAATCAGGTAGTTCAACACTACAAACAGTGTATGCGCAGACACAAAATTTAAAAATGCTTACCAGTACTGGCATATTTGAAAGTGCTGAGTATTCTTTGGGGTGAATGATGGATATGTTGTAAGTTGCCTTCTTGTTCGGCTCATCAAAACAAGGGAAGGACTTCCTGGCATCCGTTGGCTCATGGTCAGTGGCCGCTATGCTCCTGAGGAATAAACACAGACACAATGCACGCTGTTGCTTCTGACAGTCCTGTGTTTCTATTCCTATAGACAACGTGAGCCGCATCATTATAGCTATTAACATTTCTTTTCACAAGATCCATTTAAAAGACTATCAAATGTCTGTCGAAGGGTTTTAGAATTTTGAGGGTACTCTACCCAAAGCTACTGAGCAACAAGGAAGCAAACACATGCACACCCATTTGCCTGTCTCAACTGAACTGGGAGCTGTGAGCAGGTGCGTCCCGTCACAGGGCGGAGGAGTATCTTCTAGCAGTCCTCCTTCTGACCCAGTGGCACATTCTCCCATGCTTACACTGCACCAAGGACAGAATTCCTGTTCATTTTCAGGCAAAATGGATGCTGAATCTTCTCCCTAGTGAGGTAAATGTTAACCTGGTCTAAGGCCCATTTTGAGGACTGAGGATATAGCTCAGTGGTAGATCACCCACTTCATATGTGCAAGGCCCTGGGTGTAATTTCCTGCACAGCTTTTTAAGTTAAAAAGCCCACTTTTAAAAAGACAGCAGCATTCCTGATTTAGGCATGAGCTTGTATTCTCTAAACTGTTAATATTTAACATTTCTAGAATTTCAAAGTGAAAATACCGGTGTGTGTGTGTGTGTGTGGTGTGTGTGTGCGTGTGTGCGTGTGTGTGCGTGCGTGCGTGTGTGTGTGTGTGTGTGTGTGTGTGTGTGTGTGTATTACAGTAAGACAATATGATCATATATTTGCTCATTGGAAAGAACAGCACATAAAAACAATAGAAGCAAGGTAACATCGATTGATGTCACCAATAATCTGTACAAGGATAACATGGGTTCTCATGAACTAAAGAAGCTGTATCACAAAGAATTCTAAGCTAAAGAGCCAGGAGGGGTGTTTCACCCTTGTAATCCCAACACTGAGGAGACTGGAAATGGAAGATCACATTGAGTTTCAAGCCAGTCTGCAAGACACAGCCAGACCCCATCTCAACAACACAAAAAAGCCACACACATACACACATACACACACACACACATACACACACACACACCAAAATAAAAAAGATTAAAAAAACAAAAAATCTAAATTATTAGAACATTTCATTTTTTCTGAAGGTACTACACACACAACACACACACACACACACACACACACACCATAATCATAATAATACACATTGCACCATAATCATAATAATACACATTGCAGACATTTTCTGCTTCCAGACAACGAGTTCCAAATGCAATTCTCTGCTAACAGGAGCCAGGGCTCCTTAGAGAAAGGGCTGCTTCTAGGTAGGACTGGGTAAGAAGTCCATGATGACCCAGATCATCTTGTCACACCAAGAAAGTAAGAAGTACTCAGAGAATCGTGGGAACAAGTCAGAAGGACACAGGTATCTGCTTGACAGGATTACTACTTGCCAACCTATGGGAACTGGAAATCAAAATCAACAGAATGGGAATACAACCCATTGAATAAACTAAGAACACATGAATCCTTTCTTTTCTTCTTCTTTTTTTTTTTGTTTTTTGTTTTTTGTTTTTTGTTTTTCAAGACCTGGTTTCTCTGTGTTGCTTTGGTGGCTGTCCTAGATCTCACTCTGTAAACCAGGCTGGCCTCCAACTCACAGAGATCCGCCTGGCTCTACATCCCAAGTGCTGGGATTAAAGGTGTGTGCCACTACCACCTGGCTCTACATGTGTAGCTAGAGTTTTCCTGCCTGGCCCACAGTCAGGACAAATCTCTCTCACCTGTCAGTCCCACAGCCACTCAGACCCAACCAAGTAAACACAGAGACTTACATTGCTTACAAACTGTATGGCCATGGCAGGCTTCTTGCTAACTGTTCTTATATCTTAAATTATTCCATTTCTATAAATCTATTCCGTGCCATGTGGCTCGTGGTTTACCAGCATCTTCACATGCTGCTAGTCATGGTGGCGACTGGCAGTGTCTCCTTCTGCCTTCCTGTTCTTTCTTTTCTCCTCTCTGTTAGTCCCGCCTATACTTCCTGCCTGGCCACTGGCCAATCAGTGTTTTATTTATTGACCAATCAGAACAACACACTTGACATACAGACCATCCCAAAGCACTTCCCCTTTTCTTTTTCTTTTCTTTTCTTTTTTTTTTTTAAAAGGAAGGTTTTAACCTTAACAAAGTAAAAATTACATATAATTTGGGAATTTGGGCATAGCTTCTCTTACTTCTTCCTGCTGGAGGGGGGGGCACTGTATCTTATGGGGACACAAAGAAAATTTTAGGATTATGGAGTAGTCTGTGAGGGTGTATTGTCTGAGCCAGTTGCCTTGAAACGGTTCTGGATGTTGGATCATCTGGGCCACGGTGTCATCAGAGACCTTTCAGGGGGTCTTGGCTGGTCAAACCTGACGTATCTTAATCTAGAACAAATCCATAGCCTCTGGCTTTCTGTGGGAACAAAAGCAGAGTCTCCTTTCCAAAGCAACACATCCTTATATCCAAATTTTGAAGTCAAGGTACCTTTAAAATATACATTTTAGCATAACTCAACAGCTTTTACAATCAAATGTTTTTCTGCAGTTAAAAATCCCAAAGACAACACAATCCAGATTCTCTGTGTAATATTCATCTTTACATGGCTTTTTTTATATTAATTTTACTGTCTCTTTAAAGACTTTATTTTTTAAAACTATGTATTTGCTTATATAACTGTATATATCACCTTTTTTGTCTCTTTCAAGCCTACGAATATTTTACACTTTGTAAACTATTACATCTGAATCTGTCTTATTGTGAATCTATTGCTTTAAACTGTAGCATTTGTAAGACTGAAACAGCGGGCGCTATGGCTGCTGGCTCCGCCCACCTCAGCTTCCCAACATGGCGGTGGTACGTTTGCCGCCAGCTCTGGGAGCTATCGTGGGTCTATGCTTTTATCCAAGCAGTGTGTAGCCCAGAAACCTCTTTTTTTGTTTTGTACTAGCAAAGGCTAAAACCACCACGCAGCTTAATGTGCCACTTGCAGAGGCCTCATTCCCGCCATACTGCAGGTCAAGCGCACATGCTAGGAACCCACAAGTAGCTCAAACCGGCAGCTGCTGCTCATTTGAGAGAGACAATTAGGAAGCTGTTTTTAGCTCCATTTTAGAATCTTTTCTCAGGTTTTAGGTGGAAACTCTTGCCCCACGTTGGACACCACATATTGGTGAAATTATTAAGGCCACTCCATGTAGTTAAAAGGAGATTTATTTAGTGGCATTCCAATTCAATTATAAGCCAAGCTGGCTTTGGAGATGGAATTGGCTCACTCCTTCTCTAAACCCAAGCATATTGCTAAGAGAAAAGTTTGAGAGATTCTTCAGTCCCATATCAAAAGAGTCCTCTGGTATGGGACAGAAGGAAACCAATAAAAAGGGACCATTGTCTTCTAGATTCTAATTCTCTCCACGCTTACTCTTGATTTCTCAGAATCCTTTCTTGCATGATATGTCCTCTTTAAATCCAAACCTTCCATTTTGATAACAAATAAGTTTTTCCAATAGCAATCTCGGAAGTCTCCAGAAGGAAGATGGGGCCCCAACAACAACAACAACAACTCTACCCAATCCAGAATGATGCCATAGTAATCATCATCATACTACACTTCTTGCCAGAATTTCAAACAATCTTACCCATTACTCTAAGACTTGCTGCAGAACCTACAGTTAGTCTAACTGAGATTTAACTATCTGAACTTTCTCACAGTACCCAACAGAGATAACATCACCCCCTAAACAGCAGGAAGCAATTCTAAGAAAACGATGCCCCTTCTCCCTTAGGTTTCATAATTCTCAGGGTTATGGATGATGGTTATAGGGTTGGGGGGTGGAAGAAAATATTAGATTCAGTATTCTTAAAAAAAAAAAGAGAGAGAGAGAAAAGGGAAAAGAAGAAATGGAATGGATAGGTATAAGATATTATGGTAGATTATTGTATATACTAGTAAACAAATTTAGTAAAATAGCAGCCTTAGATAATTTGCACTGTAATTTGCACTGTTATGGATTCTTATATGTTGATACAAATGTAAACTATTTTTATATTCCTGTTTAAGATAATTTGTATATTGATACAAATACAGAACTATATTTGTTATAATGTACATATATTTCTACTCTTATTTGAAATATTTGTATATTGATACAAATGTAAATTTATATCTGTCATACTTTATGTATGTTCTACTTCTGTTTAGGATATTCGGTATATTGATATATATTTAAGATTATTGTCATATTGCATATTGCACTATATACGCCTACCTCTGTTATAAATATCTTGTGTATTGTCACAATTTTGAAGTCATCATTCTTTACCATACATTTGCTTATAGACTGTTTACCTTGTTTACGTGAAGCCTTAGTCCTTAGGTTATTTAGGTAGATACGACTTATAGATTTATAGTCACCTATGCTTGTCATCTCTATAGTTACATTAGTTAGGTTATCCAGAATTACAGATACATAGGTCAGATGGACAGGTAATCTTCAAACACTTCATAGACCTAGAGAATATGGCATTTAAATAACTTAGAATTCTGTTGACATGAGACACAATTACTCCTGGCTGCACCAATTTGATCCCAAGAGAATGTTGGGCTTCTAAGACATTTCCATTTGGAAGTTTGTCTTCTTGGCACAAAATGGCCTACTGGGCAAAGAACTGCCCTTGCCTCGATGGCTGACAGTACTAATGCAATGCTATTCTTTCTGGACAAGCAGGACACAAGGAAAGCGACCACTGTACTCTGCCAAGACAGGGTAAGATGGTCTTTCAGAATTCCTGCTTCTGAAAATGATCTATCAGATACTTTAGGCCTGTAGCCAATTTGAATGCACCAACAATGCTGAGAAACATTAGGTGACTGTCCAGGCTGCCAGCTGTCTCGGTCTACTCTTACAAGATTCCCGAAAGTTGCTTGCATCCATCTACCATTTCTCAGGTACCATTATATTCCTTCTCAGGTCTTTGATGG